CATGGTGGGGCTTCCTATTGGTGGAGGCCGTATTGTTGGAGAAACACGGTACCTCTGGGGTAACCAGACCTGTTCTAAGCCCACTGTAGGAAGTTAGCACCCACCCCTCTCCTAGGAAAATGAAATACTTTAGGATATATTTAAAAAAGCAGAATATTTCCCCTAAAAAGAGAAGTAGAAACTCAAAAGCAGAAACTCACCTCAGAAGCAGAAGCTCACCCCCACCTTTGTTAATGGGCAGGCCATTAAGGCCAGAGTATTCTACATAACAAAGGCCTCTACCCACCTCACCACCTGGCCTGGGAAGATTGCATCAGCCAGCACTCAGGTGTAGTCTAGCTAAGACCCCCGCCCCTGGGAGTTTGACAGCCAATGGGATGCATTTCTTACACAGGAACAGGAAACGCTAAAGTGGGGCCCAACAGAGGGTATCAAACTAAGAGTCTCTCAGCATCTTGGCCCTTCTTTTCCTTCACGCAACATCTTGAAGCATGGGATTGTTCTTTTCACTTTGGAGTTCCAAGCCATATGGTCCTGTCCACCATTAAACCAGCTTTCCAAACAGCCTCCATGTTTCCAGTGTCTTTCCCCCCGCTTGGAACTTAACCCAGAAGGATATTTCTTCAACACCACCATCCTAAAAATGAATAGGGACCTTCTAGGTCTGTGTTTGTCCCAGGTTGCTGGTGGAAGAATGATGTCCCCTATACGATTTAGGGGGTGTAACATTACAGCATCTCCCAAGCAAGGCTTTCAGATTGATTGAGCCCTTAGCTCCAAGAATTCCCAACCAACACAGGCCTCTAAAAGTTCTAGCCATCCATTTAGCCTCAGCGTCTCTGGAAGGCTTCAGGTTGGGGAAGGCAGTAGTAATCCTCTTTATAGCAGGCTTTATGTTTTTAATTGTGTTTTGGAGGGGAGGCCCACAAGGATATCTTTTTGGCTTTGCAGGGATTTTTTTTTTTTTTTAAAGCACAAAAGGTAAAGTCTTATTTTGACACAAAGAAAATGGAGGATGAATGGCCCTGTATTTGTTCTTATGTTATGAAAAAGGGGCCATGAAATGCAGCAATGAAAGCGTGTGTGGGGGGGGTGGGTGAATTTGAATGGCATAATATTTTGCATTGCGGCCAGCAATAAAATGGAGCTTGAGAACATGATATGGTCTGCACTTGATCACTCTTACTTTTATAAGTACTTAGTGATGATGTACTTCACATATACATGTAACTCATGGCCACAATTTAATTCCTGTTGCTCCACAAGCCAGTTATTAAGTGAGGTACACCTGATTTTACCAACTTTTTTTGTCATGGTGAAATACAGCAGTATTATGATCTGTGAAGGATAAGCGGAGACCTAACAGCAAAATTCAGAAGTTTGTTTAAGTTAATCCCTGTAATTGTGTTGAAGTGTAACACTTTGTTAACTGTTCTACAGGTTCCTGCCATTCTCCCGCCCCCGCCCCCATGCAATACTCAGATATCGCTGCTGATGTTGTTAGTATTAATTGCCTCATTTCTCAAAAGCACCTTTCAATATTTCCAGCATTAGAATATTTTGTGTCATTATGTGCCTGCTATTCAAGTTATCTACTGTGGGAAGAAATATCCCTCTGGTTCAGTTCCAAGCTAGGAGAAAGCCACTGGAAACATGGAGGTTGATTGGAAAGATGGTTTATTGATGAAGCAGAACCACATGGATTTGTAGTTCTGGTGCAACTGACCACATGGATTTGAGGGGTGTGTGTTATACCTTTTCTTGGGTTTAGCACTTGAGCTTCCTGTTCCTGTGTAAGAACATGTATTCTATTGGCTGTTGTCAGACTCCCATGAGGCCATGTAGGGGTTATGTAGGTTATATAGCTGATTCTATAGGCAATGTACAAATCCTAAGTGTTTGTTTGAGCTAAGTTTGTTGAAGTTTGGACTGCTCTGAGATGATGCAATGGCTTATGTTCTGAAAGGGTGTTGGGTAATTCCTATTGTAGTTTAATGGCTTTTGTCTTGTTTTGGCTCTTGGGTGAGAGTATTTGCTTATGAATAGAGCTATCTAGATACTTGTAGTCTCTCAATAACTTCTTTATCCCTTAAGTGCTGACATCTGCTGTGGGCTATTAAGGAAAGTGGGGATTGCTTTCTGCCTCTAAAAATATTTATCCATTCCTCCCTTTAGGAAATATAATAATCTGTCTTTTTTTAGTATTCCTCTAAATATTTCATTCTTCTGGGAGAGGGTGTGTGTCTTCCCACACTACTCTACTGCAGATAATTTTTAACATTTCGTGAATGGTTTTCACTCCTATAGGATACCTCACCGCTTTTCTCTTTCCTTTCCGTCCATCTCCAGAAGCTTTCTTGACATTGAAGCTGCTACTCACAGCTTGGCCTCCTCCATCCTTTCGCAAGAAGCTCTGGCAGTGCCTAAGGTATCCCAGCAAAAGACCCCTCCGAAGCCCCCCTCATCCCAGCCAGTCCAGACTCCTCCTGCCTCTTTTTCAGGCATAGCAGAAACTTTTGCAGCTCCAGACCCGATCCCTAGTTGGTGCCTCTCCCTTGAGTCTCTCATGTCAGAGCCTGATGAATTTTTTGAACCCATTGCCAAGGAGAACTTGCTTGCCCTGGATGCATTTGGTTCAAACCATCTGGGATATGATACACACCCCAATTCACAGTCCTGTGTACTTTTGACAGCCTGTGGAAACCTTCTGGAGCCCACTCCAGCCTACTCTCCAATGTCTCATCTCTGCTGCCACTCCAAAGGCAACGTCACCTTCTGCCTATGACATCCACATGCCCTTCTGAGTTGTGGGCATAGGATGGTTCCCACACATACCACTGTTTGCAGAGGAGGAGGAGGAGGAGATAAAGAAGAAAAATGGGAGAGAAGGAAGGAAGGAAGGAAGGAAGGAAGGAAGGAAGGAAGGAAGGAAGGAAGGAAGGAAGGAAGGAAGGAAGGAAGGAAGGAAGGGGCAATTTCAAATGTACCCTCACTTTGGTGACAAGAGAAACAGCAACCTCTCTGCTGGAGAATTTTGGGACATGCTTTGGTATTAAATCTCTGCTGTGCTAATCTTCTGTAGTGGGTAGAAAGAAAAGCCTTGAGGAAGAGAAAGAAAAACCACACTAAAAAAAATAGTCCAGATAAAAGGAATCTGAGTCTGGCTCCAAACTGTAATCTGTGAAAGCATCTCAGATAAGAGTTCTCATAAAAGAAACCCATTCTGACTTCCAAAATTCTGCAAAATTGCTCTATAATAAAAGTACTATTTACCTGCATGACATTGGTTCCTTAGCCTGGCCTACCTTGAAGGTGTGACATTTTTCCTGTGCCCTTAAGTTATGTTGAGATGCCGGCTTCTGGCACTTCATAGCCAATGGCTACATTGGATGAAATTTAGGAGAGCATCAGATTGAAGAAGGCTACGCACTACAAACTGAAGAAACTGTTACACAATCTCTAAAGTCAGCTTATAATAGTGTAATAAAATAAGCAGACACCCTCCTGCCAACTACCTCCCATCTCATTTGCGGGGGAGGGAATCATACAGCCCAGAGGCTACTCACCTTGCATCATTATTCCACCACACTGTAATACTGGATATCCAAAATATTGTCCACCAGTGGCCCAAATAAATCCACTCCTCTCCAGAAAAATTGTGCTGTTCACGATACATAGTTTTCCATGTCACCCTGCTCTGTCGTAGGAAAAATAGTTTATTTGTGGTACCTGTGTCTCAGTGAAAGCCAGTTCACTGTAGAAGTTTAAGAGATTAGGAAACTGAGAGTCTCACCTTAAGTAATCAACCCTCAGCCACGTCCTCTCTCTTGGCCCTAAAAAGAAGAAGACAAAGGCAAGGCATTGTCAAAAATCTGCAGGGACTTGTTGCAAGCAGCCATCCCTTGGAGATACACACAAACACAAACACACACAGAGGAACACACGCATGTACATTTAAATTCCACCTGGAAAGTGCTGAATATAATGTATGTACTATTTTGTTCCCTAATTTTTCCCAAGAACCATAAGATAGGGCAAATGACCTATGTGAAATTCCTCGGGGGAAGGGGGGGGGGGAGAGAGAGAGATTCTGTATCAGATGGTTGATGTCATGATTAAATATTTGTTTCTTTCTGCCACCTAGTGGTCTGATCAATATTATGTGACATCCCACCATCGCCACCACGCTACCACATTTTAAACTCTTTTAAAGCAAGGGTTACGCGGAATCAAATCAGAGGTAAAACCCTTAGTCGTTTGCAAGGTTTTAATTCTTTATGGAGGTGAACGACATCTATTAAGTTATGGAAGAAATTAAATGAGGTTATAAATGATGTGAGCATTAAAGTCAACTGGTGTCCTTGCTTATACAGATAGTCCTCCACTTATGACTACAACTGAGCCAAAAATTTCTGTTGCCAAGCAAGAATTGCTTACATAAGCTGTTAAGTGAGTTTTGCCCCGTTTTGCAACCTCTCTTGTCGCTGTTATTAAGGGAATCATTGCAGTTCTTCAGGCAGTAATATGGTTGATAAGGGAACCTTGTTTCTCCATTGACTTTGCTTGTCAGAAGGTTGAAGGAGGTGATCACATGACCTCAGAAAGCTGCAACTGTCATAACTACATGCCAGTTTCCAAACATCTAAAGTTTGATCATCTGAGCTTGGAAATGCCCTGATAGCCATTAAGTGTGAAAAATGGTCATAAGTTCCTTTTTTCAGTGCCATTGTAACTTTGAATGGTCACTAAATAAATGGGTGTAAGTTGAGTATTCCCTGTATAGTGTAGCTATTTTTTTTTCCTTCTTAGCCATTCTCAAGTGTGGCAGAATATTGGAAACACCACCTAAAAGTAGGCATTGTACAACAGGCATTGTAACTGTAATGGGTCTCCCCTACTCTCATTTCTCATTTCCTCCTAATCCACAAAACTCTCAGCAAATCTACATCATTCCCCTTATTTCTTTATATTTTTCTCCTTTTTTTCCCCTCCTTACTCTGAGTCATGGTAATGGGTGGAAAATTAACTCTGCTAAGTTGAGGCCGATGTGCAATTTTTTTTCAGTTCAGGTAGTCCTCAATTTATGACCACAATTGAGCCCAAGATTTCTGTTGTTAAGTGAGGTTTGTTAAGTGATTTTTGCCCCATTTTACAACCTTTCTTGATTCAGTTGTTAAGTGGATCACTGCTATTGATAACTTAGTAACCCAGTTGTTAAGTGATTTTGGCTTCCCCATTGATTTTGCTTCTCAGAAGGACTTAAAAGGGGACCCCATGACTCTAGGACACTGCAACGGTCATAAATATGAACCTGTTATCAAGCATCTGAATTTTGATCACGTGATCATGAGGTTGCTGGAAAGGTTGTAATTGTGAAAAAGTCGCTTTTTTCAGTGCTATTGTAACTTTTAACAGTCACTAAGCAAACTGTTGTAAATTGAGGATTACCTGTACTTTGGTTACATAGCATAGCATATATAGCATACATAGTTGCTGATACAGTTCTACAAGGGAGTTATTGAGTCTGTCATCTGCACCTCTATAACCGTCTGGTTTGGCTCTGCCAAACAAGATAGACACAGACTTCAACAGATACTTAAGACTGCAGGAAAAAAAAAACAATTCCTATCAACCTGCCTTCCATTGAAGACCTGTATATTGCACAAGTCAAAAAGAGGGCTGTGAAAATATCTACAGATCCCTCACATCCTGGACGTGAATTGTTTCAACTTCTACCTTCAAAATGACATTATAGGGTACTGCACACCAGAACGAGACACAAGGACAGTTTTTCCCCAAATGCCATCAGTCTGCTAAACAATTGTCAAACTATTTACTAACTGTACCCACAACATTGTCAAACTATTTACTAAGACTGTATTACTATTATTCTTTTCATCCTTCTTATTACCTATCTCCTTTTACTTATGACTATACCCGTGTTGCTTGTATCTTTATGATTTATATTGTCTTATTTGTTTCCTAGTATGATTTGATTGCTTATTTAGTATCCTATGACTGTCACTAAGTGTTGTATCTTATGATTCTTGATGAATGTATTTTTATGTACACTGAGAACGTAATGCACTGAAGACAAATTCCTTGTGTATCCAATCACACTTGGCCAATAAAGAATTCTATTTTATTCTATAGCATGAATGCTTTCTTCTTGATTTATATTTATTTCTCTATTCAATGTGCAAGATAGGTAACAATATAACAATATAATACGAAGTATAGGACACATTCAGAAACTAATGCAGGTAGTCCTCAACTTATGACTGTAATAGAGCGTGCTCTTTATAGTTGTAAGTGGTGAAGTTCATAAAGTGAACTTACTGTCACATTCTGGCATTCATCGTCAAGAAATGCAGACAGCGCAGTTCAGTGTGACACTTTTTCTCTTGCAAGCATGAAACCTGGCATGGAGTGACCAACAATGAAGAAATAAAGTCCTTCTCTGCTCAGATGACAGCCCTGGGATGGTTGCTGAACCAGGGGCTGAAACTTAAATGACTTACCCAATTTTATGACTTTTTAAAAAATAGTTCTTATTAAGCAAATGCCATGGCTGTAAAGCAAATCCTACAGTCATTAAGCGAATGCTACAATTGTAAAATGACTGCCACAGTCATACATAGCAGGACCATGCCAAAGGCCATAAATGTGGGTTGGTTGCCAAGCTACCAAAATGTGGTCACGTGACTGGGGGAGGTGGCTATTGGAACACCGGAACTAGGTAGTAAGTATCTTTGGGGGATCCATTTTAACTTTGAATGGTCACCAAATGAGTGCTTGTATACCTGTGGTGGGATTCAAATTTTTTTTACTACAGGTTCTGTGGATGTGGTTTGATGGGCATGGCAGGAGAAGGATACTGTAAAATCTCCATTCCCACCCCACTCCTGGGGGAAGGTTACTGCAAAATCCCCTTTCCTCCCCACCTCACTAACCTGCTTTCCAGCTCCGTTCTCCTGTGCAGGGCAACCAAAGACCCAACCGATCAGCTGGGACTGGGGAGGTAGAGAATAGATGGGGGCAGGGCCAGTCAGAGGTGGTATTTGCTGGTTCTCTGAACTACTCAAAATTTCCACTACCGGTTCTCCAGAACTGGTCAGAACCTGCTGAATATCACCTCTGATGTGCTCACGTTAGCATTACTTTGTTAAGCATAATATATCTGGATGGCCCCCTATCTAACTATGCTTCTGCGGATTCCCTATTAAACTTTGGGGGCTGACCTTAACTTGTACTCTGCTTTTCTTGACTTCCTGAAAATTTATATTCCTTATATAAAATAAGAAGCAAAGAAAAGGAAACACGTTTTGTAAAGTTAAGAAACTAGGGAGAGAGAAAAAATAAAACTATGCTGATTTTTCATTTTTACATACGTAAGTAAAACAGATAGGAGACCCTTTGCTAGGTGGGCTTTTATCTGCTGCCAGAAAATGTTTCTGGCTTTCATTCAAGAGCATCCATGTACCATGGGTGAATGTTCCAGAGTACAGTTCTAGAACCTAAAATGACCCGATTCCTTGTTCTCAGTATTGTCACCCCTCAGGCTCTCAGCTCTAATAATAAATTGAACTTTTTACTCAACTATAATCTACTCTACTAATATAATTTGTCCGATAAGCATCTTAGGGCCATCTAAATGGATTGAACTACAATTCCCACAATTCATAGTCTTTGACCATACTGGCTAATGCTGATGGGAGTTCAAGTCAAGCTTGCAGGCTACATACATATTTTGCACAAGGAAGGAAGCTCCCAAAAAGCCAACGA